ATATCGATAAGTATCGGTATATCGATAGTTCTCGTTATGGCGATAGTTTTTAATATATATAGGTATCGATATAATATCGATAAGTTGGGAGTGTGTAGCTCAATAGGTTGGATCGATAAGGAGCATAGCTGTCCAGTATTGTTGTTTATAATGACTGACACGTATGAAAATTGTCGATGTTGAAGACGCAAATGAGTTTCTTTGGCTTAATATATTGACAACATCCAACTTCCAAGTTCAGGGCTGGGAAAACGTAGGTACTACTGATTTTGTAGGACTATGTCCTATTTTCTAGTCATCTCCAGTTGTTTTGTAGTTACTTTAAAGAGAAGGGCGTTTTTCACAAAATTGCAGAAATTCGTTTTCTACTTTTAGCTTCCATTATTTCAAAATTAAATCTTATAAACTGGTCACACTTCTAGAATGTGTTAATAATACGTAGGTAATTAGAGAAAACTGGAGAATGGGAAGGACTAATTTTAATTAGGGGGTTGCTTGCGAAGATTTTTTCGCTTAAAAAAGTACGGATCCACCTTATTTTCATTGTAACTCACTTAATTTTTAAGCTAAAGTTTGTTTTAAAATAAAGGAAGAAAGGTTGTTTTAAATACTTTAAAAAATATTCTGTAAGTTTTTCTCGAAGAACGCATAATTTGGCCGTTATTTGACTGTAAAACTCTCTAATTTAGCGTGTGACGAACAAGAGCTAACCTTTAACAAGCCACAACTCGGTTCGTATAGGTCATAGAGCAATTATTAAAAAGTTGTTATTTATATAACAAGAGCGCGAAGTTTAATTTCGCGCATTGAGACTGAAGGTATTTTGACGAGGCGAAGCCGAGTTAAAATATCAGTCAAATGCGCGAAGTAACTTCGCGCTAGCGTTATGTACAATATTTTTTCTACAACTGAACCGATTGTTCATTAAATTTGCTGTTTAAGTTCAACTTTGTCACGTGCGCGAAATACTTTTTTTCACTGTTGACGATTTCGCGCACGTTGTCAAGAGCAACCTTACTTATTAATTAACCGTTTAAAAATCTAGTACTTCGCGTTTCGAAATCCGTCAGAAAATGACAGGTTATTATGACAGTTGTAGAAAAAAATAGTTATACCAAGGCCGTAAAAGTGATCTTTTTTGGCCGAAGCTGCTGTTTGTGGCCAAGGCGGTAGCCGAGGCCGCAATTCAGATGAGGCCTAACAAATCACTTTTGGCCAAGGTGCACACAACATTTTTTAGACGATCATCAAAAAAGAATTCAAAAATTAGCTCATAAACATATTTTTTCTGAAAATCATAGTTATCTTATAGACAATTAAAAACAAAGCATTTCCTATCGTATGTAATAAATTATAATTTATTAGCATCTTTGCGTGTATTTTGTGCGTATCAAAATGGGCGATAGCGACAGTTCAGATACCCCAAATGAAATTTTGGAAGCTGCAAGCGTTGCGACCCTAAGTCATATATGATGTAAGAGCAGGCGTTTGAGAGTAAAAGTACAATCGCAACTTCCTCCGTTGCACAAGATTTTAATAATGTCAAATGCAATAGGTCCTTCGTAACTGTGGCTTCCAAGACCTTATAGTTAACATGCTGTACAATTATTAGAAACCTGATTACCTACTTTGATGGCAGGTATAGGTAGCTACTTGTGTTCTCGGTTAATTGCTGGTGATTCTTCGCATAATAATGTAAGCAATAACATCTTCCTCATGTTTTGGTTCTACACTTCAAAAAGGTCTGCAAGCAGCAAAGATTGAAACGTCAAACTATAATTTTAAATGTGAACATTGTGATTACGCAATCGTGTGAAACATTCCTACAAGTCCGAAAATGAAAAAAAAGCACGTGGATGGCCCAATCCTTGATGGGGCTAGACCGGATAGACGCTTTGTATCAAACAGATTACTGTTTCTCACACATCAGTTTCAAATAAGTAAAGTTTGACAGAAGCGTACAATAAAGTAAAACTTTATGGCCGCAAAAGCGACCACAAAATCAACGTTTTTGTGCTGATAGCCTAAAAACATTTTTCTACAACTGTCAAAAAAACCTGTCATTTTCTGACGAATTTCGAAACGCGAAGTACTAGATTTTTAAACGGTTAATAATTAATAAGTAAGGTTGCTCTTGACAACGTGCGCGAAATCGTCAACAGTGAAAAAAAGTATTTCGCGCACGTGACAAAGTTGAACTTAAACAGCAAATTTAATTAACAATCGGTTCAGTTGTAGAAAAAATATTGTATATAACGCTAGCGCGAAGTTATTTCGCGCATTTGACTGATATTTTAACTCGGATTCGCCTCGTCAAAATACCTTCAGTCTCAATGCGCGAAATTGAACTTCGCGCTCTTGTTACCTATATAAATAACTATTTCTTTGTTTTTTTAAAAGCTACGATTTTGTTCGCCGCAGTTTGTTTTTTTATGCATACTTTTCGAGTTTTTCGCGAATAACCAATTAAAAACATTGATCTTTTCTATGAAAAACTCATACCTTCAGTCGCGAATAACTGGAGAAATATTAACTTTCCAAAAAAATGTATAGAAGACTTTTTGCTTAGAATTAATTTGTCTATCTATTCCTGTGTTAAAATTACAATAAAAAATTGCCACCCCCGAGATGGGGTGGCAAACTACCCCCATGGTGAAAGCGCCCATTGGCATGATTTAGATTTTTATCGTTAGGCTATTCGCTACTTACTGTCAAAATTTCAAGTTAATCGATTCATTTTGAAAAAATTGCCAGGGCAAAACCTTCATTTCCTGGACTATAGTATTGTACGCTTTTTTACCGTACGCGCATTCTAAACGGATGTGATTTTTTCTAATAAAAGTGGCTGCCTAGGGTGCCTACATTTATTTTATTTTCAGTTTCCACCAACACTATGCAAAATAATCGGTGATTTTAACATTAAATTAAAATATAAAACTATACAAACTGTGTCCCCGGATTGTTTGGACGTCTCTTGTAAAAGATAAAAAATTGAATTTTGAGCTTCTGGGAGTCAACCCTGCCTGGTTAGAAACTAAATTGACAAGTTTAGTTTCAATGTTCAAAAAACGTTTTGCCAGTAAAATGCCCTTTGGAGACAAGAATCGCACACATTTTATTAAGAAAAGCTGTTTTACCTATTTCAAAGTCCTAGGTCTACTTTGATTTTTGGATGTTTTTATTCTTTTTTAAGCTTTTTTAAGGAACATTTTTTCGAATTTCAAAAAAAAATTAAAATATGCCCAGTACAGTTTGCACGTTTACTCAGTTTTTCATTCTGAATTCCAATATTTTACAAGAGACATCCAAACAATCGGGGGACACACTGTCGTAGGCTCGTAGGCATTTTGCAAAATCTGTCTAGTCGATTCGTGAACCGCTGACAGTTTGACGTGCGGGGTCATTTTCCTTCCCTTCTAGATCAACAATGGATCCCATTTATCAATTTCGAAAGGGAACCTATAATACCTTAGCCCTAGAAACCGCACTGTGCCACAGTTTGCCTGCGATTTATAAATTGCCTAGGAATTTTATAAAATGACGGATTTTACAAAATGCGTACGACATATTCATTTCCAAGAAATACAGACAACTTACCCCTTCAAGGTTTCAAGAACACAGTCACACCAGGTCTTGTTTGAATCACTAATACCAATTAACTATTGTAAAAATTAAGTCTCAAATTAAATCACACGAATCAAGCAGTTACAAACAACTACGAACAAACTGAAATGTAGAAACCTATGTATAGTACTCACACCAAGAGTAAAACAGATGTCAAAATTTCAAAAAGAACTTGCTACTGTACGCTTAGGAAGTTTGAAGACAACTAAATTTAATTTCACTTTTGGTCAATAGGGGAAGCCAAGCCAAGGCCCAAAGGTATTTTTGATCCACCTTTATTTATTGAACAATGGAGAGGAAGTCATTGCAATTTGCATTATCGTTAGGTCTGTTGTTTGCGATATGACAGCTTACACAAAAGTACCTTTTATTGTCATTATCTTAATTCGAGTCTTAATTGCTTATTAATTTCAGGATAATCTGAAATCTATTGTTTGATTGTTAAACATTATTTTGTCATCTCAAATAAATTTTAATTGAATAGCAGGATTAATTTTCGGAATTATACTTTTGCCTAACAAAACAATTTTTCAAAAATGTTATCAATCAATAAATATTATTTGCCTTTCCCAAACTTTTTCTTTGTAAACATGTTTATACGTTGCGACCATACAATTTCATGCATTTTTTCAAATCTGAATGAAAAAGATAGACGTCCATTTTTACTTATTGATTAATTACTCACCTGAAATGCAAGATGGATCCTGAATTACTTTATTCAAAGGTGGTATGTTTAACAGCTATTTTTACGCTTCCTACTAGGAGTAGTAGGTGCTGGAATTGACAAATAAATTTTAAGTATCATCAAAAGAAGCATGAAATTAGGATGTTCTGGATCTCGATACAGTGGCAATAATCAAGAATAAAAAAATGAATAAGTCTAAATTAATGTCATAAAGAAAAACTATGAAGAAGAGATAATAATAAACTCCATGTTCACAGATCATAATGTATAAAAACCGAGATAAAAACATTACATAAATCCACCAAATTGATAAATAAATGTTTTGGTGTGTGCAAAAATAATGGTAAAAATCGTGGTGACTGGTGACGTAATAGGTACTGGTTTCCTAATGAAACTCAAAGAACAATTAATTCGAAAGTTAATTAAGGAACTGCCTCCACTTCGAACAGACGAAATTTGTTTCGTTTTCATAAATTCATTCAATGAACTTGGTCATTTTTGCATCGAAATTTGTGATCAGTATATGTTAATGCAACAATGAATTTTAAATTTAAGCGCGTTTGTATATCGCGCTAGTGTGTTCAGTAGGGATTCGGCGCATGCAGAAGTTTCTTTTAGTTTAGTAGATTGGTAGAACGACATTCAAGACATTGCGCGTTGTAAAAATGGCGAGCAGTTAATGTAAATTGCGCGTTGTAAAAATGGCGAGCATTAATGTAAATTGTTCTTGTGCTTTTTACGTACAAATAAAATATTAAAAGAAGAGTACATCTTTCCATTTGGTCCTTCGAGCAACGGATTCCTAAGTAAGAAGTCAAGAATCAACATTCGAAATAAGTTCATTGCAACAAGCAAACAACGATACGACACGTCATCAAACGCAAGTACAGCGGACCAGTCAAGTAAAGGCCGATCCCTCAAGTAAGCATCCTAACATTATTACGTTCACGTTCAGTATTCATTATATTACCTATCACATTCTTTAAACATGACGAATGACGAATTGAATCTCAAAAAACTTGTGCAGAAAAGAGGCATTTGTAAAGCCCAACTAACGATGTTTGACACTTATTTGAGCGGGTTAAATACGGAAGAATTAACCAGCACCGATTTAACTAACATAGAAAACAGATTGCAAAAGTTACAACCATTTTTTGATTCCTTTAACGATGTACAGAACGAAATTGAATGCTTATCAGTAGTGGGATCGGATAACGTAAAAATATTTCATTACTGGCGGCGAACATGGCTTTTTCAATATAGTTTATGCATATATCAAAGATCAAAAATCGCCCCAGACCCCAAAATTTCGAACCTCTTACCACCAGTAGTGACGTCATCTAACTAAGGACCTAAGACATCGGATCCCAACGGAGGCGATACCGCCTCCCAGTGGGCGCTGGAGGATTCCAGAGGAGCGGCAGGTGCGCTCAGGAGTAAGTGGGGGTCGTTGATTATTTACATACAGAGAGATGGTCATGGTGTACTATTAACTAAGAAAATAAATTTTACTAAAATATTGATTAATTTATTATTATTGAAATGGATAAATACGTACTTTACTTAAATAGCATTATTTCGAATATGTATAGCATGCGCACGTCTATTACAGGGTGGCTAGAAAGTAATGGAAGAAGGTACTGCTGATGAAACGGTTGGAGGGATTGATTTCAAGTTTAGAGGACTTCAAAGAGACGTTATTACGCATATTTCGGTTCGGAATAAAAACGAAATTTAAATGACCTATAATGTCATTAAAAAAATTCAAGATGGCGGCCACCCTCAAAATTCAGGGTAATGAAGAAGTTTCTTTTTCCTTATAACACGAGGGGATATTAGTTTTAAAAGAATTTAAGAAGTAGCATCAGTGTGGGTCAGTATACCGAATAGTCAATCAAAAGTAACTATGCCTATGATTAATCGACTAGGGGGCGGTAGCTATTTTTTGCTCTTTAAGGAGGCGATGTTTCGAAAAAGGTTTGGAAATCTATGATCTAAATTCTAAGATATTATAAATAGTATATTTAACCCCTACATTTGGCGGCTATTTCAAAATATACAGCGAAATGATAGCAATGGATCATTAAAAGTTGGCAGAGTTAGATTTATCACTTATAACACCCTCATGGAATGAAGAAGCGGACGGACGCCTTTTCCTTCACGCTAAGCATGCGGCTAATAGTGATAATGGCCACAAATCCGTAAGCATTCGAACAGTAGACCCAGATGTTGTAGCCTTTGCAGTATCTGTCTTTTCAAATTTTTAAAGTAGACACGAATATGGGAATGAAACATCAAATTTTTAACAAAATAAATTTGCAGAAATCATTTATTAGTACCTATAGACGATAGCCCGGTAAAATTAGACAAATCGACAATTATTGAGATACGAAGAATCGCTTACGATTTTCGGTAGGGAAATTTTTTTCACTCAATTCGGAAAGCAGACTTTTGATCCGGCTCATTTTCAATAGCACTGATCCTTGAACGCGTAGAAATCGATTGGCGAAGGTTTGACATCGCTGTCTCTTTTCGTTCTCGAGTTAGACGAGAAACAGACGGACAAAACCATCACATAAGGAGAATTTCTTTTCTTTCGAAAAATTCCCTTATAATCTAAAAATGGACCCCTATAAATGGCTCCCCTCCCTCGAGTTCACCTCCTACCTATAAGGACTTTTTATTTTCTTGAAACTTAGACACTAAGGAACAACTGTACCAATTTTAAAAACTGCGGAATTTTTTCCTTCGATTGGCCTTTATTTATGTAATTTTACTGGGCTACGACGTATATCGGTTTTTACTAAAATTTGTTACGTTGAATTGGATGTCTATGTGCTGAAAATCAGTTTCTCATTAGATGACGTCATTACTGGGGTTGGGGAGTCCGGAATTTTTGAGGTCTGGGGCTTTTTGTATCTTTGGCATATACAGCATCCAAATCCAAAAGTTCACATTCGCCGCCAGCACTGAAATATTTTAATGATTTTTAATGCTATCCGATCCCACTACAGAGCAAATCGACGTAAACGAAAGGCAATTATTTCAAGATAACTTTTTTCATTTGACAAGTCAAGCTAGCGACATTTTAATAAAAGCTAAGGAAAGCAGTATTCAATCTCGTTCTGTGCAAGGGCATGAAAACTGCGATGATCGCAGTTACGATACGAGTTCGCATGTTACACGTAGGAAAAATACCGGATTAAAATTGCCCACTATTCAATTGCCAACTTTTGATGGTTCATTTACACTATGGCGGTAATTTTATGATTCCTTCAATGCGTTAATACATACAAATTCGGAACTGTCCGATGTGCAAAAACTAACTTATTTAAAGGCTTCATTAAAGGGTGAACCTGCTGGTTTAATCAGTTCTTTGCAAACCACGCATGAAAATTATCCTATCGCATGGGCACTATTGCAAAAACGTTACGACAACAAAAGGCGCATTGTAAACAATCACATAAATTGTATAATGGAAATGCCCACGATGACACGTGAATCGTGCGAATCATTAAAACAAATTATCAATATACAAAGTCACGTGCAATGTTTAAGGTCTCTTGGCCAACCTGTGGAAGCGTGGGACGCCATTTTGATTTCAATAGTTACATCTAAACTCGATTTTAACACAAATAAAGAATGGGAAGCAAAGCTGAGTACGATGGAAGGTGAAGCAAACGGAAAAATCCCATCATTTGAAAGTCTCTTGTCATTTTTAAACAATAGATTAAGCACATTAGAAGCAATCAAACGAAAACCTAGTGACATCCCTAAGCAATCACAAAATTATGTGCGTACCCCAAGGTCCGAATCAAAATCCTTTCATGTAACTAGTTCCTTATGCATTCACTGCAACAAAGACCATTTAATTCAAAAATGTGACACATTTCTAAAACTTAATGCGGAGGAGAGAAACAAAAGGGCTACAGAGTTAAAGGCATGTATCAATTGTTTGCATAAAGGCCATTTTTTACAGGACTGCAAATCTAAGTATAGTTGCAAAAAATGCAACAAAAGGCATCACACAGAATTACATTATGATAGAACCGACAACCCTAAAGGTTCAACTCAAATCCCTACCAAGCACACTTCTGTAGTTCAGGCCAATGAATCAGAGTCAAATGTTTTAGTTTCACGAATATCGTCAACTCCCAGGGACCAGGTTTTATTATCGACGGCAAAGGTATTGCTTGTACATAAGAATGAAACGCGTGAAGTACGATGTCTTCTTGACTCGGCGTCACAATCAAACTTTATAACGGCAGAAACATGTGAAAAATTAGGTCTCACACTCGTTCCGATTAAGATTAATGTAATATACAGGGTGTTTTTTGGGAGCTTTAGTTAAAAGTTTCTGGGAAAGTAAAATAGGTAGGTTTTTGAAAATTTGTACTTAGGAGTTACTCTGAAGGCCGAATCGATGTAAAATATTTTCAAAATGGCCGCACTTCCGGAAACACCGGAAGTAGATAGTAACTTCGTTATTTTAAATGGCAACCCCTATTTTTTATTGCTTTTTTGGATTCTACGTGAAATTTCACTTCTTTTGATACCCATCTGTCGATATCTACCATTTATGGTTTTTAAGTTATTTTGACTTTAAGAAAAAAAATGGCGGATGCAGATGGTACCTTGATAATTGATTACTTGCAAACGGTTGTAGTCATGGCAACCTATTTTTATCAGTGCATAGAGAATGAATAGGGCTTTCTTTTAGTGCACTTAAAAAAAAGTTAAGTTGCGTACGACCGCCCCTATGGATATCCAAATTTATGAAACTTCAAAGACTAAAAACTCAGTTTTTTTTAATGGAATGACCATGTTCTTACTATTCCATGAGATAGAGAATCGAAATGGGCATATTTTGACAATACATGTTCCTATAGCTATCTTTAACAGTTTCTGACTTATTCCCATTTTATTGAATTGACACTATTTTTTTAGGATTTTCTTTTTAGTAGTCGGCCATGATTCTATAACAATTGAATTTTAAACAAATCTAGTGACACTAATCCATCACCCACTGTTATAGGTTAACATAAGTTTTTCAAAAATCGAAAAATGACTCGCAGTGGTTTCACCTATTTTGGAATTTAATTGTTATTTATGGTGAAATGGGCAGAATCGCGGCGCGTGCTTTCCGTACATTCATTCGAAAACTAGAACGAAATTGTATGAATTTTTGAAATTTTGTACCCCTAATGCACTACAAACCGTTGAAGCACAAGTTATACAAAGCTCTACAAGAGAATATTTAAGAAAATGAATTGATTTGCAAATGCAAGATTAACAAAATAAATTCAATGCAAAATATAAAAAACTTTGTTGAAACATTTTTGGTATGGAATTGTTGCTAGAACAGATATCGCATTACCTCTCTTAATTTCCAGACTTATACGTTGTTTAAGAAATTCAGTTGAACGACTCTGTTTAGATTTTTCAAAAATTTTCTGTCCTATATCCTTATTAAATGAGTTATTTATTAATGAATTATTTAGACTAGAACTAGAATCAGTGGTATTAAAGAATCCATTCCTTGATTTGTTTAAAATTCGATTGTTATAAAATCATGGCCAACTACTAAAAAGAAAATGCGAAAAAAAATGGCATCAATTCCGAGATCAATTCAATGAAATGGGAATAAATCAGAAACTGTTAAAGATAGCTATAGGAACATGTAATATCAAAATATGCCAATTTCGATTCTCTATCTCATGCAATATTAAGAACATGGTCATTCCATTTAAAAAAACTGAGTTTATAGACTTTGAAGTTTCTTAAATTTGGATCTCCATAGGTGCGGTTGTACGCAACTTAACTTTGTTTTAAGTACAGTAAAAGAAAGCCCTATTCATTCTCTATGCACTGATAAAAATGGGTTGCCATGACTATAACCTTTTTCAAGTAATCAATTATCAAGGTACCATCTGCATCCGCCATTTTTTTTTCTTAAAGTCAAAATAACTTAAAAACCATAAATGGCAGATATGACATATGGGTATCAAAAGAACTGAAATTTCACGTAGAATCCAAAAATGCAATAAAAAATAGGGGTTGCCATTTAAAATAACGAAGTTACTATCTACTTCCGGTGTTTCCGGAAGTGCGGCCATTTTGAAAATATTTTACATCGATTCGGCCTTCAGAGTAACTCCTAAGTACAAATTTTCAAAATCCTACCTATTTTACTTTCCCAGAAACTTTTAACTAAAGCTCCCAAAAAAACACCCTGTATAGGTATCAATCAATCAGCAATGACAATATCCCACAAAGTTAACATTACTCTCAAATCTCGAATAAATGAATTCACAGTCACATTTTCATGTTTAGTAGTCCCAATAATATCAAATTATTTACCTACGGAATCGTACCCAGTAAATGTTTTTCAAATCCCATGCAATTTAAAACTTGCAGACCCAGAATTTAATAAGGCTGCTCCAATCGATTTACTCATTGGTGCCGATGTGTTTTACGACTTATTATGTGTAGGTCAAATTAAACAAGTTAACCTCCCAACCTTGCAAAAAACGAAGTTCGGATGGGTAGTGTCTGGGAAGATAAGCACTTTAAATCAGAAACCTATACAAAACAGCCATACTTACCTCACGTTACAAGAATTGCATTCAAATGTTGAAAGATTTTGGCAAATTGATGAGTTCACAGGCAAAACAAGTGTGTTGACTGAGGATGAAAGGTATTGCGAAACGTTATTCAATAAAACAACATCGCGTGACCACTCAGGCAAGTTTGTAGTTCGAATTCCATTCAAACCGAATTTCAAAAATATAGGTAATTCATATGAAATAGCAGAATCACGATTCCACTCACTAGAAACACGCTTAAGTAAAAATCCAACTCTGAGGCATGATTATACTAAATTTATGCATGAATATTTAAAATTAAATCACATGACCAAAATCAATTATGACAAGCATCAATGTTTCTTTCTTCCTCACCATGCTGTGGTGAGAGAAAATAGTAAAACCACCAAGCTGAGGGTTGTTTTCGATGGCTCATGCAAACTAAAGTCGGGTATTTGTGTAAATGACGCCCAGTACAAAGGACCTACAATACAAGACGATTTATTCCCTATAATAAGCAGATTTAGGACGTATCAATTCGTATTAAGCGGGGACATTGAGAAAATGTATCGGCAAGTCCTCATACACCCAGACGATAGACGCTATCAAAGGATATTATGGAGAGACTCTCAACATGAACCACTTGCCTGGTACGAACTTAACACTGTCACGTATGGCATGACTTCAGCACCCTTTCTGGCGACTAGATGTTTAGTTCAATTAGGGAGAGATTGCGAAGCCAATTTCCCTGTAGAGTCCCAAATCATAAAACATGATTTTTATGTTGACGATCTGTTAACTGGTTCGAATTCACTTGAAACTTTAAAGCATATAAAAGACAACGTTGATCACATTTTAAAGTCTGCCGGATTACATTTAAGGAAATGGAACAGCAACGTTCCAGATTTAAGAGATACCAACTTAAGTGAAACTGTAATAAATGAAGACATTCAGAAAACATTAGGGATAAATTGGCACCCTGATGATGATAAGTTTATCTATTCTACAAAAGCTTTAACTGCATACATTCATAACACTAAACGTACCATTTTGGCGACTGCCGCACAACTATTTGATCCTCTCGGTTTGTTAGCGCCCACAATTATTATAGCCAAGTTCATTTTGCAGGAGCTGTGGCGTTTAAACCTAACATGGGACGAGACAGTTCCGTTAGACATTCAGACAAAATGGCTCAGATACAAAAACGAATTGCAGACAATAAACCAAATTCATATTCCACGTCATATACCTACTTTAGTCATTAAACCCATTGAAGTTCAATTGCATGCATTTTCGGATGCCTCCGAGAAAGGTTACGGGGCATGCATTTACTTGAGATCTATCAATAAAAATAATGAAATCAAAGTGATGCTATTAGCAGCCAAATCTAGAATATCCCCATTAAAAAAGACGACCATTCCTAGACTCGAACTGTGCGCAGCTGTATTGTCGGCTCAATTGACTAACAAATTTAAACAAATTTTAAATGTCGAAATAAAAAAGGAACACTATTGGTGTGATTCACAAATAGTTTTAAGTTGGCTAAAGGCGCCCAGTGAAAAGTGGAGGACTTACGTGGCCAACAGGGTATCGGAAATACAATCTTTAACAGACACAAATAGTTGGCATTATGTACCATCCGCAGATAATCCAGCAGATTTAATTTCGAGGGGAGCTTCCCCCAAACGATTAGCCACATCTACGTTGTGGTGGAGCGGACCTAATTGGCTCAATACATTAAATGATCAGTGGAACTTTCCAAGTCATGAACTTCCAAACGAATTACCAGAGTTAAAAAGGCAAATTCAATCCTTCCACATTACGTCTGAATCAACTAAATTCCCAATTGAAAATTACTCCTCGTTCGAAACATTGAAAAGGGTGATTGCTTTCTGTGTGCGTTTCAAAAACAATTGTCTAACACCTGCACACGAAAGGAATATTGGAGCACTATCAATCAATGAAATAAAAAACGCTCTTATGATAATAATTAAACAAGTACAATCTGAAACATTTCCTAAAGAACTGGAAAGATTAAAGCAAAACAAGCCCTTAAGTTCAAAGAGTACCCTGTTAAGTCTTACACCATTTATTGATTCCTCTGGAATTATCCGAGTAGGCGGAAGATTACAACATTCTCATTTCAAATATGATAAGAAACACCCCATAGTGCTACCCAAAAATCATCACCTTACGAAAATTTTATTTGTTTCCGAGCATAACAGACTACTGCATGCAGGAGCAAAATTATTGCTAAGTACGATCCGCGATCAATTTTGGCCAATACATGGCAAAAATACTGCCAAACTGGTAGTGCGTACCTGTATTAAATGCATCAGATTTAAATCAAAGGTCAACAATCCTCTAATGGGTCAGTTGCCAGTGCAACGGACAATTATCATGCCACCCTTTCATTCAACAGGCATAGACTATGCGGGTCCGTTTATGATTAAAGACAAAAAGGGCAGGGGCAGTAAAAACTCAAAATGCTACATTTCTTTATTTGTGTGTTTTTCCACCAAATCAATGCATCTTGAATTAGTCACCGATTTAAGTACAGAATGCTTTATCACTGCTCTCAGACGTTTCATTGGTCGTAGGGGTAAGCCATTACACATATTTTCTGATAACAGCACCACATTTGTAGGTGCCAAAAATGAATTACGTGAACTTAATGATTTTCTAAAAAATAATGTTATTGCAATAACCAATGCGATGTCTGTAGAAGGTATTACCTGGCACTTTATTCCAGCTCGGTCGCCCAATTTTGGTGGGCTTTGGGAGGCAGGGGTAAAAAGTGTCAAACATCATCTAAAAAGAATCATATCAAACGATTCATTTACTTACGAAGAGTTCAGTACGCTAATAATTCAAATTGAGTCAATTCTAAATTCACGTCCATTAACTTCCTTAACAAATGATCCTAACGACCTGGATGTCCTCACTCCCGCTCATTTCCTAATCGGCCGTCCATTTACAACAATAGCAGATCCAGATGTTACGGACATTCCTACAGCAAGACTGAGCCGTTACCAATATCTTCAAAGCTTGAATCGACAATTCTGGAGAAGATGGTCGAAAGAATATATTCATGAGTTGCAGCAGCGAAACAAATGGAGACGAAGTGAAAATAACCAACTGAAACTAGACGACATCGTTTTGATAAAAGAAGACAACTTACCTCCAGCGAAGTGGAGCATCGGAAGAGTCATTCAATTGCATCCCGGTATCGACAAGACAGTGCGTGTGGTAACTGTGAAAACCGCATCTGGCACGGAAATCAAACGAGCTTGCTCAAAATTGTGTGTGCTTCCAGTTGGAGAATCTAAAAGTGAAGTTAGTAATAACTAAAATTAATATTGAAGATAAACATGAATTACTTACTTACGTCGTTACTTACCTGTATTTGTATTTTATTTAATGTGACTTTATGTTGTTTATCTGTGTATATTATGTTTTCTCATGTTTTGGTTATCATGTATCAATTTTTAAATCCAAGGATTTCAAGGCCGGCGGCATGTTAATGCAACAATGAATTTTAAATTTAAGCGCGTTTGTATATCGCGCTAGTGTGTTCAGTAGGGATTCGGCGCACGCAGAAGTTTCTTTTAGTTTAGTAGATTGGTAGAACGACATTGCGCGTTGTAAAAATGGTGAGCATTAATGTAAATTGTTCTTGTGCTTTTTACGTACAAATAAAATATTAAAAGAAGAGTACATCTTACCAGTATAAGGGGTATCTCTAGCCCAACAAAATATCTTCAAATATGTCAAGCTTGGATTAAATTAAATTAAATTAAAGAATTAAATTGTAGTACGCGTGTATCCATGTCCGAACAAAACTGCAAAATTATAACATTTGCTATGCATGAAGATGTTTTTTTGCCGCAAGTTTTTAACCATGTGACTTAGAGAGACCACTTAGGTACTTGGTGCGAATCTCGCAACCGCGATGTTTATTATTAGCTAATAAATCGTAAAGATAGTTGCTAGTCTGATACGAGTCCGAATTGGCATTAATTAAAAAACATTGCGTACTCTGTAATTAGATGCGGATATCGATACTTATCGGTATGTCCATCGACAGTTATTGTAGGTAATTGCACAAGTGCATCAAAATTACCGATAATTTTTTTGAAAGCATGTCTAAAAACTGCATGAGTTTACTTTTATATTTTGGCGAAAGAGCCCGACAAGACAAGAGGGCTCTTTTAACAAAATATGAAAATAACCGAATGCAGTTCTTGCAACTTTAATGGAGTGTGCAATTATCGCAGGGCTCTTTAGCTTTCTACAATGCAATTACCGCTGTAATTAAGCGATAATTGCACGCCTCATTTGAGAGAAATATTCGACGTATCGATAGTATCGACAGGGGTAGTTATCTTATCGAATTTGATTAATAAAATCCATTTTCCGGTTTATTCTCGTGTAAAGTGACTATTTCTAGTTACTCGACGTTTCTTTGCTACCTTTATCAAGAGTTTTTTGTTAGATTTCGTAAATGTCAATCAATTGAAACTGTATATCTAAATTTGAAGTGTCCTTAGCTTTTTCTGTTTTTTTGTGACTGGTCCTCTGTAACCATCAATCAGATACCGATACATAGGCCATGATTACACCCTTTGATTGTCTTCTTTATTTTATCTAAAGAGTAGCCATTTTGATGCAACATTTTGTTCAAGTTCTTGAAGTTCTTCTTTTTTTGAGCAATCGTCAGTAAGACGAAAAGATCTATTTTCTAAAGATTTTATTACTGCGTTTATTTGGCATGGATGATGATGTGACGTAGCGCTTCTCTTGAGAAAGGGAGCAAAGTTAAGTTTCCGAAACGTCGAGCAACTAAAAATAAAAACTAAAATAAAAATTTACACGAGAGTAAACCTACGAAAGCGTCTAAGGGTCACAAAATTATAATAAAATTATTTTTTCCAATATATTGGAAAAAAATTGAATATATTGGAAACAATTGAATATATTGCGAAAAACTTAAAAATATTGCGAAAAAATTTAATATATTGGAAAAAAATGTTACACAAACTCAACACTTATGTCGGATATTGCGGAGTGAGTTACGAGTTTAATGTGCAGTGGCATTTGTGGAAAATCGAAATGAATAACGTAGATTTATTTGATGCACTCAGCAACGCTACCGACAGAGACTTACTGTCTCTGCGCTACCGATGATTTAGTTTCTCTCCATTTTCGTTGTCCGGCCAAGAATTGCAGTGGAACGTCTGGAGCTATCGCTGGGCGTTGCAGCATGCGAGCCGATAGTGACGAGTTGGTGAACAGGCGGCCGCTCGTTGGGATACCCGAAACCTTTACAGCCGAAAGAATACTACGAAGAGGACAACGACCACTTGAGGAGGACCGCCAAGAAGAGACCTTTGTGTCTGCTTGTGGATGGGACCAGCGCAAAGGAAACCTCCAAAAGACGTATGAAATGGGACGAAGGGATGAATCGCTTCATTTTCGGTACGTATCTGGAGATCACGAAGATGGAAACGGACAGGACAGCATACAGAGGTACTTAGGCAGTATCTTTGGTTAAAAATAAGTTTCAAATTTATATACGCTTTCCGTAATAAAGAAGTAATACTTATGTTGGGAAAATTTCAAACCTTCATCTAAAATCAGGCCCAGATTTTTGGCAGTTTCTTTCACAAGCAGACCCGAGTCTGCCACCTTAACGTCCACATCCTGTTTAATTAAGTTTCTAGCTTTACGTTGCCCAAATACCATGAGTACGGATTTCTCTGCATTAATTTTTGAACAGTGCTTTTCAGAAACATTTACAAGAGCATCAATGTCAGAATTTATTTATTTATTAGCTAAAGCCACATTCTCAGGTTGAAAATCTATTTGAAGCTGTGTATCATCGGCATATAAGTGATACCTGCAATGCTTAACATGATTTCTGAAGTTGCACGTGTACAACAAATATAGTAATGGGCCTAGATTAGATTCTTGGGGCACCCCAGCTATAATAGGCAAGGAAGTAGAACTCTCTCCATTTTATAATTACCTTTTGAAAACGGTTAGTGAGGTAAGATGGCATAAGTTCCACAGCAGTGACACTAAATCCAATAAATCGCAAGATACTAAACAAAATTTGGTGAGAAATTGTGTCGAATGCTTTAGAATAGTCTAACATGACCAAAATCGATGTTCTATTTTTATCGGCAGCAGACAGTATATCGTCCGTTATATTCAAGAGGGCAGTAGCACAACTATAACCTTTCCTAAAACCCGATTGGGTTTCAGGTAAGATATTATGAAGCGTAATAATTATGCTTATTGATTTGCTCTACCATTATTTTTTCTAAAATTTTTGACATAACTGGTAAGATGCTGATGGGACGAAGGTTCTTAAATAATTTAGGTTCGTTTATCTTAGGTAACGGTATAACATTAGCAGTCTTCCATATTTCTGGTCTTATGGTTGCTGAGAAAAAAATTAAAGAAGAAATCCAAATTTCACCACTTCTTTGGGGGTGGCTCCCAAACGAAACACGTTGGACTCTCGGTTTATTCGGAAAAAGTGCTTGTCTTGCTCCCCTCTATCACCTATTTTTTTTTACATGCGGTCATGTAACACCCTGTATACTATGCGATCAAAAATGAGTTGCTGTCGTGTCACCTTTGGAATTTTTTTTTACATGGGAAATCGTACGTAACTTGAACTTCCAAAGGCAACTTGACAGCAACTCATTTTTGATCGCCCGTTATAATAGTACATTATATATCAAGGTAGAGAAGTCCACTATTATTGCCTGAGCACCAAGATTACATCTCGAGGCGTTTGCGCCGAGGGGTGTAAGGTGCGAAGGCAATAATAGACTTCTCTACCGTGGTATATATACTATTTTTTTCACTACTAGCACTCGAAATCCTCTAAATTAACATATTATATTGATAAGAGAGTTAACGGTTGGACAGAATTGTTTGTTTCTTAATTTAACATGTCAATCAAGTACGTGGAAGTACAAGTCAAACAAACCGTTTTGTTCTGTCATTGAGATTTTTCAAAGAGTAATTTCGTTCGAATTTTTTCAAAATGTGATAATTTTAGGTATGTAATTTCTCTGGAAATTGCGAATCGTGGCAATTATTCGTTTTAGAGAACTTGTCTAAACGTTCATTGAGCGAAATTTCGGGTTGTGTTTTCTAAAAGTGACAGCGTGACAGTTCTCATTATTGACTACTAGTTAATAATGTCCACATTATTAACCACTTTGAACAAATGCCGAGAAAGCCTACTTTACAAGTGGAAAAAAGGTTAATAATCATGTCATCAGACGCTAGTAGTGAAAAAAAACATTTATCGGTACAAAGCAAAACTGTATTAAGGCTTTGTCCAGTGCTGAGCCGGAAAAGCAATCAATTTCTTTCAGCTCTCTCTCAATACAGACCACCATGCTTCAATACGTTGGTTGTTTTGGGTTGTTCCATAAATAAAGCTGTTCTCACCAAACATAGTGTCGCAGTTATCAACTGGTTCTTCTCTGAATATTTGTTGAATTTTTTCTACGTACACATTTTCTGTACCACAATCAAAGCGTACTCGTCTAGGCCATCCACCAATTTCTTTAACGACATCGAAGTAGGTAATAACCTCCAATAACATCTGGATTACTTGCAGTTCTGCCCGCCCTCAGCCATATTATTCGTCTCAAAAAACCATCAATGCACCCGCGCTAATAGCTATTCCATAAGGTTTTAGTTTGTCATATGCGTCCATATGCCATACCTAAATTAGGGCCATTTATCGAATATTTTCGTCGGCGTAGTCTTTTACGTTTTCTGTATTCTACGTACGCCTTCGGGATTCAATTCTTGTAAAATTACTCTAATTGTAGCCTGTGTTACAACAAATCCATTCTGTATGTCTATGTAATCTATGATGAATCCAACGATATCCACATAATTGAACAGATTCCTTTAACTGGCTTTGGATAAAATCGATGATTGTGGATACATCCGAATAATGTTTTTTTCTATACAATAACTTCTTCAATTTACGTATTATGTCTCAAATAGATAAAAGCCAGTATTTCATCGTAATGCATGCCACTTCAAAAATAACCTCTTACTAAATCAGCGTTGCTGGGTGCATCAAATAAATCTACGTTATTCATTTCGATTTTCCACAAATGCCACTGCACATTAAACTCGTAACTCACTCTGCAATATCCGACATAAGTGTTGAGTTTGTGTAACTTTTTTTTTCCAATATATTACATTTTTTCGCAATATTTTTAAGTTTTTCGCAATATATTCAATTTTTTCCCAATATATTCAATATTTTTCCAATATATTGGAAAAAATAATTTTATTATAATTTTGTGACCCTTAGGCGCTTTCGTATAAACCCGAAAATGGATTTTATTAATAAAAATAGTAGCGCTCGTTGAAATCTCAACAATATAGTTATTTGTTTCATTAGTACAAAAATTGTCAGTTTTCGGGACGAGGAAGATAGTTGCTGGACGACGCGTTAGCGGAGTCCAGCAACCTTCCGAGTCCCGAAAACGCATTTTTTGTACGAATAAAACATAAAATTTTTTCTCCAACCCCCTGTACTTCAAATTATATTCGAATTTAGATTCAGTCACAGTTTCACTACTATAGTATAAGAACTTCTGCTTTCTTGTCCTCACGTGTCATGCCACTCCAGTTTTTAGGTTAACTTATGGCCTATTCGTTCTTACTTCTTCCTTCTCACCTCTCGCGACTTTGTAGGGAGCAAATCTTGAGGTAGCATGTTCTGCCGTTTCTATAATCTCTGGCGGAGTGCAATCCATGTCGCTATCGGTTTCAGTCATTTTATTGTATACACAATTAATATTGTTATATTTTGTATTGAAATAAAAAACTTACCATACAGTTTTTTAATTAAAATTAATTGCAATTAACTTTTTCAAATTTTGAATTCAAAATGACAGATATAGTGCAATGGGTTTGAAGTAGATGGCGTTACCCGCGACGGCGGGTTGTATACGTATTAAAATTACGTTCACGGAATATGTAAATTACGTTACACATGGTTTAAATAAAAATAGCGAGCGTAAATCATTTTCAATACAGGTACATACGTATAGGTAACATCATTATTTGCATTGAATATGCAAAAATATTTGATTTGTATGTATAGAAATATCTTACAACCTGCAATGTAAAACGATGCCAATGTGACATATCTCCGTGATTGTAATTTTTTAATTGGCCAACTTTCAAGGTCAATTTCTTTTTGGTACTAGGACCAAAAGTATCCACTTTTTGTACATTTGCCATGGTGAAAGCGATTAATCCGCAAAACGTCAATTTTAGGTACCGAACACTGTCACAAAATAGCGTCTTATTCAGGTGGTTGGAGAAAAACATAATTTTATCGTACCAATAGTTATCGACATATCGATAGTTATCGACATATCGATATATCAATAGTTATCGACATATCGATAGGTATCGATATATCGATACTTATCGATAGTTATCGATATATCGATACCTATTGATATATCGAAAAAAATTCCCATGCCTACTCGAGAGGCTTTTAAACCCTGTCCAAATATAGATCAGCCTTTAAGAACCCGGCCGTTAGTAATGTAATAGTTATTTATGTATTAAGGGCATAATAGTGATGTTTATATTCTCGAGGGCGACGAGGGCTCGAGAGCTTTTTAGTCGCCCGAGAGTATAAACATCAGTTTATGCCCGTGGTACATACGCAATTTTATGTTTTACAAATAGTTTTCTTCGTCAAAATTCGTTAACAAAATAATTGATTATGTTTGATCGAGTATGCGTGGTTCGAATTTGTTAATGTGATTGAAACCATCCAAACGTCAAACGTAAATTTTAAATAATTCAATTCATCGTGAATGAGGAAGAAGTTCCAGAAACTATACGAAATAAGGCCAATCTTGTGATTTAGTAGGTATTGACAATTAATAATTGACGTTTCTAATTTTCAATGACCTGCAAGTATTTGTTTGTTTTGTCATTAAGTATAAATGAGTTACTATGGTGATACTTAATGCCCTAGGGCATAAAGTGGTACTTTATGCCCGCGTATCACAGATATAAAATGTGCTATGATAGGTTAGTAAGACATAAAAAAGCTTTATCAGAAGCCTTTGGGTAGGTACTATGTAAAGCACTTGAAGTCATTCTATAACCTTTGCCAGAGTTAATCAAATCTAACATGCTTGCTTTAAACATTCTTCACCCCCCCCCAGCCTCTTTCACGCTTATTTCAAGTTTTCTTCGCGTCTCTTTGCCCCACCAACCGACGTATCGGCGGTTTTTTTCAATTAGGCAAATATGAACAACTAACGCATTAACTTAATTAACATAATTAAACAATGAACCCATCTAGAATAATTAACATAAGATATTTTTTTTGATCATACTCAGTTTATATGCCACTTAATTAAAAGTATACAACCAACGCATAATGCAACGAAGGTGGAAACGGAGGTTTCTTCTAATCTAACTTTAATCAAGATGATAGAGACAGTGGTGGAGAAATTAATACCAAGGAGTGCCAAAGGCAGGGACTTCGTGCAGATTTCTTCAATTTTTGTGGGTAAGTAGGTATCTTAAACCACTTGAAACTTTAATAATCATATTTTATTAGTCTCCATTGGAGCATTTTCCGCTGGAGCCCTTTTCGCCTGGCCTTCGCCTACCATTCCGCTTCTGATCCGAAACACCTCCTACATCGGTCAAATATCGATCGAGGAAGCGTCTTATCTCTCAATACTGCCAGCGGCCTCCATGATCGCGTCTTCTTTTCTCATAGCCAGCGCAACGAAGTACATCGGAAGAAAGCCAATAATTTGGTTCATGGCCATCCCTCAAGCGCTCAGTTGGATACTAATCGCCGAGGCGAAAAGCATAACGGCAATTTACATCGCGCGTGTTCTAAATGGGATTGGGGAGGGAATACTGTTTTCTATCGCGATGGCTTACGTTGGAGAGATATCGACACCGGCAGTTCGTGGGACATGGGGGAATATGATAACGTGCTCGGTCGCCTTAGGCCAACTGAGCATTGCTGCTGTGATTGCATCCATGGATATCGTTACGGCAGCTTACATTCATCTCTTTGCACCACTACTTCAAATTTTGCTGGTTCCCTTTCTGCCGGAATCCCCTCACTACCTGATGAAGAAAGGCGAACGCGAAAACGCCAAAATCGCCCTGATGCGGCTCAGATGGAAAACCGACGTAGACTGTGAGCTTTCAGCTATGAGTGAGAGCATCGAAAGGCAACGTTCTGAAGCTGGCTCATTTAAGGATTTATTCTGGATTCCTGCGAATCGAAGGGCACTGCTGTTGGTACTTAGTCTGCGCACATTTCAGCAATTGAGCGGTATAACTGCATTTGTAATATACGCCCAGTATATATTCGAGTTATCCGGAGCAAGGTCCGTCTCAGATGAAGTATCTACAATTATTGTTTTTGCCAGTTTATTCCTTTTCTTATTGGTTTGCTTACCAGTAGCTGGGAAATACAGCAGAAGACTATTGCTAACAGCATCCTCTACAGGCTGTACAATTTGTTTGCTGATCAACGTGGTTTACTTTTGCATCCAGGAAGAAACAGAAGTGGACGTATCTGATATCAGTTGGATTCCACTGCTCGTCATGGTTGGCTACATTGCTTTCCTCAGCATTGGACTATTACCTTTGCCCGTGCTAATGATAGGGGAACTCTTCGCGCTGAGCATAAAAAATCACGGAATGTTCGTTTCCACTGTGTATCTGGCGTTAATAATGATTGCATTTCCGAAGATTCTTCAGCTGCTGCTGTCAAACTTTTCACTGTACGTCACGTTTCTATTTTTTACTGTGTCGTGTTTTTTTTCCACCATATTTTGCTGGTTTTGCGTTCCAGAAACTAAAGGAAAAACACTGGAAGAAATCCAACAGCTTCTCAGCAAAACAAGATAATTTAAATTACCGCAAGCGTTTGCAGAAAAGGTGCGATCGTTGATTTATTATCCTTTCGTCTTTCTCCAACTGCCGTTGAAACTCATCTTCCATCTGGGCTTCTACTGTGATTAAAGCGAAATAGTTAGTAAGTGAAGGTGTAGTAGCAATTGTATATCTACTGAAATTTTTTTTCGACAAACAATGCCACGTGCGAGATAAGCGATGCAGGTGTTTTATCAGTTCTGGCGACGTAGATTAACTTCAAGTGTCGCCGGGTTAATAACAATGTTGAATTTGTGAGAGAAAGTGATTAAATAGGAAGAATAAAGAGTTAAACAAGGCTGTCTCTGCTTATTTTGTACTGATACTCTCCCATTTCTTTTGATGAGAACGTTGACACTTTCAACAAACCGCAATAATTTATTAAAAATACTTACTGCAGCATAATAAATCATACAAAATTGTATATTTTCAGAAATTATCACAAACACATCAATACATAACGAAAAAAACTACATATAAGTACTTCTAAACCATAATCTAAATAAATAAATCACGTAATTATCGCCCTTAATCAATACTACCTATATTATTTGTCATGTATTACTAATTTGTTGTCGTGCTCGCTATAATACTTAAGTTGGCTTACGCTCGGCTCAAGAGAATCTTTTCGATTTCGCCCTTGGGCATTTTGGCATGCTTGCTGGCAACGCGCGGGTTCCTCACGATCGGCTTGCGCTGCCGGTTATCCGCCGCGTTGCTTTTCGGCTTGCAGCACGTCAGCGAGTAGTACGCGGTGTTGTCGACGAAGTACGCCTCGATGTCCTTCAGCTTCTTCCGATGCGTCTCCGGCAGGAAAATGAAGCTGTAGAGCAACGCGCCGAGTGAGACGGCCGCGAAGAAGTACTGGAGGCCGGACGATCCGCCGACGAGGTTCGTCAGGTCGTAGTAGCACTGGATCGAGGCGAACATCAGCAGTTGGGCGAGACTGTAGGAGATGCTGTGCGCGACGCCGCGGATTTCGAGCGGGAAGAGTTCGGCGGTCATCGTCCACGGTATGGATAGGAGGCCGAGCATTGAGGCGACGACGTAGAGGAGAAGCATTAGGACGGGTACCCAGGTGTGCGTCGTGGTGCGGTCTTGGATCCATTTGGTGAACAACGCGGAAACGCACATGCAGACCGCCATGCCTGCGCAACTGACGGCGATTAGGGTTCGCCGACGGAAGCGGCGCATGAACCAGGTGTTCGCGATCGACATTACGAAGCGCACGGTGCCGATGAAGACGGAAGCTAAGTAAGGATTGATCGTGCTTCCAATATCCTGAAAGAAGTGAGTTTCGATCAAACAAGGACGAATGAAGGATACTTTGGTAACAAATCACCACAAATCTTGGAGAACTAAAGAAGAGCTAAAATGAGTCCACTCCCAACAGGGGAAACAAATATCAGAATATTTAACAGTGGCGATATATACTAAAGAAATCCACAGGTATTGTTATCAACGGATTTTTATTTTTTATTTTTCTACGAAATCAATTGATTTTCTCTTCACTTTTATTTTGTTTGCTTTCATTATATGAACCTACCACAAAAATTTCGTTCTAATTGCTCCATTACTAAGAAACTTGCGTTTACGCATGCGCAGCACGATTTCTTGCGCATGAATTCTATTTGCTTTTATTAGAGGGGTCCACCATAGATTTTTCGATTAAATTGCTCCATACATAAGAAAGTTGCCTATTGCGCATGCGTAGTACGATTTTTGGCGCATGCATTTAAACTCCAGATCCAGATCTACGTAACAATTCGCACCGTTCCAGGCCTCGGCGTTTCCAAATAAACTCGAAAATATGAAAAAAGTGCCATTTGTTGGCAATTGTGTATGTGTGGGGGGGGGGGGGATAGTGACGATCCGAGTGTAGATGCCACCTTGTCTAACGTTGGTGTAGAACCGGTGATACATTGCTCGGCGTCGCATCGCGCATTACAACGCACAATCGTAGGTATCGTTCGGCATCGCCTCGCACATTCACTGAAATCGCCGTGCATTTTAGAATGCGACCGTTCGATATAGGAATCTAACGTAAAAAACCGCATTTCTAACCCTCTGCGTTTTCTAATATACGCAAAATATCATTAGAATACGTGTTTACTCCCCCCCCCCCATCACCCCCTTTTCAAAAGTGTTACTTGGCACCACTAAAGGCATGCGTATGCAAATTCTGAGACCAGTTGGTTGTCGCATGTAAAATTTACGTACGTTTTACATTTAAAAAGGGCATCTCAGGAAATAATTAATTGGGGGGGGGGGGGGCACCTTGAGACAGCGAAATTTGATGGCCATCTTCAGGTGTAGGCTAAATATTGCATAAGTGGCCCCGGACGGACGGGCAGACAGACCGACAAAGCGCAAACAGCACAGCCTTTTTAATTCTTAAAAAATGAGCTAAAAACCGCATCGTTCTAACCCTCGGCGTTTCCAAAGAAACGTCAAAATACGATAAAGAGCCATTTATAAACGGAGGGGGGGGGGTTGCGTCGATTGTAGGGTATGAATACGAGACCAACGTTAAAAAATTGATTGTTGTAACCCTCGGCGGGAGGGTGCAAAAAGGACGTCAGAAGAATGGCGTCGGTGCATTCTTCAACCCCCCCCCCATGCGATTCGGCCACCGTAAATAATTTGTACAGGCTATTATTCGATAACATCGCATTTCGTCCGGTTTTCATTAGACCCCCCCCCCCCTTCGTCGGAGAGGTGGGGGTAGTGTGCCGTCGTCGGAGGGCCGCTTTGGGCCAATTGTAAGTTTTCTCTTAAGTTGTGTAGCGACGAGGGCTTAAGCCGGAGAAACCTCGAAAGAATCAAAATTTGCCCCCTCCCCCCCCCCACGCAAACAAATTCAAAGTTGGGATAAGAACCCCATACGTATTACGCGGGCCACTTGGTGCTATCGGTTAAGGAAGCATGGGTGCGTCGAACCAGGTATGGTAAAAAATTAAATTACCTGCGTGGGGGGGGGGGGAGTTGCCGTAAGAAGATGTACACATTGACGCAAAATCATGTTTTTTTTTGGGACTTGACTGAACAGTTATTACACCCGAGGGGTTGATACTGTAGCTGTTAGAAGTACACACTTTTCGATTTGTTTTCGGTTTGGCGCAAGCGCCCCGAAAGGAAGGGAGATACGAACGAACTTAACGTTTCGTGCGATTGGTCCGGTCCGTGGTGCGTATGAATAGGGCGGTACCGAAATCGCGCGATGCGAAGCGGAGCACGGGCGAATTTTTCGAGTACAAATTCGGATTTTGCACAGGAAAAGGCGTTTCGGGAAAGAGGAGGTGGCGAAACGAACGCACCCCCACCCCCCGGGCCCGGAAGAGAAGTGAAGCCACAGTAGCCGGGAAACGGGAGGGGGAAGAGGCGTATCGAGTAGCGATTTTGTACTTTGGATTCGTAAAGGGGCCTAGGGTATGCTTCTAAGGCACTTTCTCGCCAATTGCTCGGCTAACCGAAAGTTTCCCATCTCGAGGGCATTCGGCGAATCATCTAGTCTTTTTTTCATAAAATGCTATTCACCTGGGGGGGGGGGCCGAATTTTTTCGAAGCAATTAGCCCGGTCAGTGATGCGTACGAATCGGTGGTTCCCTTGCGCCGAGCCGAAAGCGCAGAGTAGCCAATAATCGGGGCTTTCAGATCGGGTGACAAGGGACGCGGTGTCGAAATTTTCGTTGGGTCCGTTTCGGTTTTTCTAATCGCAAAATGTAAATAGCAAAATAAAAAGAGACAGGAGATAAATAGAGGAAGTCGCAATAACGTGCCGGTCTTCCGCCGAGACGCAAGGCAGATCAATCTAGATTTTGTGGATCGTTGTCCATTAATGCACTTCACATAGCACGTCTACGAGCCTTGACCTAGGGGAACTTTGCCAATTTTTATGGGATCAACGAAACTCCAGGAGAAAAATCCTCTTATGGTGATCGGGTATATTCGCTTATACCTCCAGAACGGATTGTCGGAAGAGGGTACTTAGAAAAGGCGAATGAGACGTCTGCAAGAAATATATCCGTTGGTGATGTCAAAACAAAAGCTATTTCGGTTAAAAACATGCGCTTTATCTGCAAAAGAGTTGTGCACAATTTATACTTGTTTTAATTTGTGAGGGATCACCTCTACAAAGTGACTTTTTTTGAAAATTTCGATGCAACTCGTCTCTGGATTTACACATAATCGCGTTCGATGTGTCACAATTGACTATTTGCGTCAAACTGGCTTTAATTTTCCGTATTTTACAAATTAATGCGATTTTTGGCCAATACCAATCTTTGAACCCTCAAAAAAGTCACATAGGGACCTCAAATCTCCGCCAAATTCTTTCATTCACTTAATTTCCTGGTTCAGTGTCAAATTTAGTAAGAAACAAAATTTCAACTTTTTTAATAAAAATTTTCGAAAAAATCTGAGTTTTCACATCGGTTCGGACACTTGCGACTCTGCTGTCCGAAGAGAAAGCATCTGTCAGAGGTCTCCAAACTAAATGTCTAGCAACGAAAAGTCCAAAGAATTTCACCTGCAAGTGCCCATTTTGCGCCCTTTTCGCTTAGTTTTTTCATTTCAGTTTTGGTGTCGTTTTTTCAAAGACGATTTGGAACCTTTATATGACGCACAAAGTGTCATCCGATAGCCTCATGTTCCCTTTTTGTATAGCTTTGTCATCCGTTCGAATACCTTAAATATTAGCGAAGTTTTCAATTTTTTTTGTAAAAGTATGCCAGATTCAAAAAACGAAAATTGACCCGTACCGCCAAAACCGTGCATTTTTGCATAATGCGATGGGGGTATTTTTGAAATCCCCGTGGTCAAATGTATAAGATGTCATCGAAAAAGGCGACAATTTTTGATAATTATTGTACTGTCTAAAAATCAATGCGATTTTTAAACAATATCATTTAACAGGTCATTTAGGGACCTCAAATCTCCGCCGAACGTTTCATTCACTTAATCTAGTGGTTCGGGGTCAATTTTAGTAGAAAACACTTTTTTTTTGAAAATTTTTGAAAAAATTTGGGTTTTCACATCGGTTCAGGTTTAACGCACTTTTGACATTACTGTCCCAATAGAAAGGGTCTGTCGAAGACGTGGAACCTAACCCAATTGTTTACTAACGAAAAGTCCACAGAATTTCATCTGCAAGTGCCCATTTTGCGCCCATTTCGCTTAGTTTTTTCATTTCAGCTTTGGTGTCGTTTTGCAAAGACGATTTGGAACTTTTGTATGGCGCACAAAGTGTCATCCGATAGCCTCATGCTCCCTTTTTGTATAGCCGTGTCATCCGTTCGAATACCTTGAATATTAGCGAAATTATCAACTTTTTTGTAAAAGTATGCAAAATTCAAAAAACGAAAATTGACCCGTACGGCCAAAATCGTGCATTTCTGCATAATGCGATGGGGGTATTTTTGAAATCCCCGTATAAAATGTCATAAAAAAAGTGATAATTTTTGACAATTATCGAATTGTCTAAAAATTAATGCGGTTTTTAGGCAATATCGACATTTAAACCAGAAAATAGGTCCCTTAAGGACCTCAAATCCATATAAAACATCTGCCCTCACTAATTTCTGATTTTGCAAACCTAAGTATCACGCGGATCCGTTGCCGTATTTCGTGGGTGTTAGACCAATTCGCTAAAGACGCGTTTTGCCTACTTACCTTAAAAAACGTCACCGCATAAAACAGGGTGATGTAGATTCCCGAGAACTGCTGGAAGAAGAACAAACCGGTCAAAATGACCAGCGGCTTGCAAGCGGTCGGCCGTGCGAACATCTTAAGCTTCCTCAGCACGCCGTTGCCGCCGAGCGACTGCGCCTCCTGTTCCTTTTTGATCATGTGCTCCTTTTGCAGGTAGGCGAGTTGCATTTCGGCGAACGACTCCGACTAAAAGTGCAGTTGAGAGCGAATGTCGCGAACGGATTGCGCTAACCTTATGCTCGGGCTGCGGCTGAAACCGATTGATCCACTCGAGCGACTTTCGCGCCTGCTCAATGCGCCCCTTCGACACGAGCCAGGCGGGACTTTCCGGTATGAACATGATCAGAATCGCCGGAACCACGACGTAGATATTGGTGAGCCACGCGACGAGACGCCAGTCGAGAAACCAGCCTTTGAGGTAAACGAGCACCATGCCTACAAGAGTATCGGTTACTACCGAAGATCTTGCGGAGGATCCTGCCTACCTAGCGACGCAAAGCCGGGCGCCATCGAGATGAGCGAACCGCGCAAGTCCGCCTTGGCAATTTCGGTAATGTAGACGATCGCCGGACTCGTCGCCCACGCCGAACCGATACCCAGAAGAATTCGTCCGCTCAGTATCATCGGGACGTTAGTTGCCATCGCGATAAGTACGTTCCCCAAAACGCATGGGATAGACGCTAACTTTAACATATTCAGTCTGCCGATGGCATCCATAATTACACCGGCTACAAGCGCTCCGGCAGGTGTGAAGATGACAAGGACGCTAGCTGAAACGCAACAAGAGTAAATAGCACAACTCAGATCCTCCACTCACCTATCCAAGACCCTTCCGTCTTTGTCACCTGTATGCTGCCGGTAACATTTTGAGATTCTTCTAATTGAGGTAGCAAGATTGCCGAATAGGCCAGCGACATGCCGACCACTATGTGAAAGGTGGCGGCGATTGCTACGGCAAGGATCTGCGTGGGAGGATCGTCAATATTCGGCGCGCGTCGATCGGCAAACTTACCTGAGGTAATACTGCTTTGAACTTTTTCCCCTCATAATAGCTGAGAGATTTACAACTAACTATAATCGCACTAAATTGCTCTTCCTGTTTCTGCTCTTCCAAAATTGCCTTGGCGTTCTCTTCGAGACTAAAACAAGGAGAGAAGTTAGCCCGAGTCTACACTAAAAATCTGCGATCTTTTTTGAAATCGACGTAAAGAAAGCACACTTACTGACTTTGGAGTGTCCCAGTCTTGGTCCAACGTTTGGTTTCAAAATAATTAGAGTGATTAGTTTAGAAACAAGGAGGGGGTACTGTAACGGGAGCCCGCTCTCCATTTTTGTGAGCGAGAGTTTAATTTGATTTTAGTAGTTGAAGCAGTTTCAATTCAACCATTTTATTACCGACAACATTTAGGAGTAACTTCCTGTGTAAGCGAAAGTTGAGTGGACCCGGCTTATAAAAAAGGTGGACAATGGAAAATACCCCAAGATGCCAAAGAACCGAAGAATAAAATCTGTGCTCCTGATACGATCGTCAAGTTTCTGGGAATCCCTTAGGATCAGAAGAAATAAGAACTCATCTTGGTGTCAGTTGTTGATATTTTGGTATTGCGGCCCTGCTTATAGCTTCGAGCTCCTGGTATGGTTCTGTGACTAAAGTTTACACCATTCTACTTGGCTCTGTATACAATCAGCTTTGAAGAAGGTTTTGATAGTTGGCAGTAATAAAATCTTAGTCACTTCTAGGCTCCTGATACAATCAATTAGCTTTTGGTACCTTTTTGGCACCCGGAGAACATAAAACTCGTGCAAATGATGCGAACATTTTGATTCTGTTAGCGTTTTGTCTGGATCTTGTAGTAATGCAACATTAGTAAGGCCTGCACCTTTGTGTTTCTGATACAATAAATTCGTTTTTAGAACTTTTTTGGTATCAGTAATACATAAAATTAGTGTACGGCACGCAAATATTTTGGTATTTTTAATTTTTTGAAAGAGCCTTGCGCTTGTATGTTCCTGATAGGATTTTATGACTAACTTTTTATCTGTGCTCCTGATACCATTGACTTTGATGAAGGTTTTGACACTTTTCTGTGATCCTGATACAATTAATTAGCTTTTGGTACTCTTTTGGCATCAGGAAAACATAAAAATTGTTGTAGGAGATGCAAACAATTTCATTATGGGGCTTATATGCTCTTGATATAATTCTATGACCAGAGTTCTCAACTTTTTGTCTGCGCTTTGAGGGGGATCCTGTAGCAATACAACATTAGTAAGATCTGCTCATCTGTGCTTCTGATACAATCATCAATTCTTTTTTGGTATTTTTTTTGTATCGGGAGAACATAAAATTTGTGTAGGAGACGCAAAGATTTTGGTATTTTTAAAACTCGTGTAGGAGAACCAAACATCTAAATTCTTGGACCTATATGCTGCTGATATGATTCTAGGAGTAATTCTATGACTAAAGTTTACAACTTTTTATCTGTGCTTATACTACCTATTAGTTTTTGGTAATTTGTTGTATCAGGAGAACATAAAATTCCTGTAGGAAACGCAAAGATTTTGCTACTTTTTTTATTTGTTGAAAGATTCTTGATATGATGATAACTAAGGTTTACAACTATTTATCTGTGCTCCTTATACAATCGGTTTTGACCACAGTAATAACCAATTCTGGGCTCCTGATACAATTGATTAGGTCTTTTGGCATCAGAAAAACATACATGTCGTGTAGGAGATGCAAATATTTTTATTCCTGGGTTTATATGCTCCTGATATATTTATATGGCCTGAGTTCCCAGATTTTTGTCTGGACCTTGCGGAAGATCTTGTAGTAATACAATCTTGGTAAGATGTGGTTCAGATACAATCTATTCGTTTTTGGTAGTGACTTATGTTGATGAGAACCTGGTACAGTTTTGAAACACGGCCGTGATAAAACGATGCAGAAAAACATAAAACGTTCAAATATAAGTATCTTCGTACCTTCATATGAACATGATATAATTTTAAACGACAAATTTGTATTAGAAGAGCATAACACGTGGTGAACAAATTTTACAGTCCCATATTTCTGTTATCCTGATAATTCTGTATACCTAATACCATCTTACCACCATGTGATCCTGATACAACAAATTTAAAAGATAAATGAGAGCCTAACTTGTGCCAGTGCGTTTTTGTCAGTACCTGGGACTTCTGTGATCCTGATGCAAACACTTATGTTGTTCAGAAAATCTTAATCTTCTTACGTTGATGAGATCCTGATACGGTTTGAAAAAGAGCCATAACAAAATGGTTGTTTATTGATGGATAGATATTAGGAAAACATAAAACGTTCAAATTCACTTGTCAACCAATTTTATAGCGTTGAGATTTGATAATAATGATCGTAATTTTTGTATTTCCGAGAACCTAATACACAAAAGAATGTACTTACCGTCATATGATTCTGACAACAATTTTGAACGTTCAATATTAGGAGAGCATAACATAACATTTTTATCCATAAATTTCTGAGATCCTGATATCGTTTTTAAGATAGTCTTGATTCTTCATCGATGCATCTTATGTACCAGGAAAACATAAAATGTTAACAAATTTTGAGATTTTGGTATTTTTAATTTGTTTGAAGATTCTTGCCCCTGATATAATTCTATTGTTAATTTTGACTATGCTCCTTGCACAGGTAGCGTTGAGCACGATTTTGTTAGTAATAGAACGTTAATGAGATCTGTTCTTCTATGCTCCTGATACTTTGGTTTTGTTTTCTCCGAGGTTTTCTCTTGGTTTTTTTTTGTTATATGCTCCTGATACAATTTTACGACTAGAGTTAAGGATGCTATGTCTGTGGTCTTTATACAATTAGTTTTGAGAAAATTGTTGGTGATAACATAAGATCTGTGCCTCTGTGCTCCTGGTGAAATTAATGCGTTTCTGGTAAGTTTTTGGTTATTAGAAGACCATAAACCCCATATAGGGGAAGAAAGAAGGAGTCTGATAATTATGAAAAACAACAATACACCGGAAAAATTAGAAGTTGAAGAATCCGACACAGCATGGGAAAAAATATGGAAAATACCCCGACAGTGGGCATAATTAAAAAAATTTAAGAAATCCAAAACCTTCCGTGAGTGACGTGGAAGAATTTGAGAAACAAGAAGAGTGGGAAGATTTCCAAGATCCAAACTAATCCAAAAAATTCCTAACCTTTCGCTTTTCGTATTTCATCAAGCGTATCGCGCTAAATATTTGCATTAGAGGTGTGCGATAGACCGATTTTTATTTCGCAAATTAGCGTGGGATTGCCAATTTTACTCTTGGCGAGAGGTCGAAGCGGAACGAGTTGCATAAAAACAATCGCTTTAATTTTTGCAAAACCGCAAGATTAGGTTAAACGCCGATTGCGGTTTGGTTGGCAGATTGCACAATTAAATCGATTACCAACAATAACACAAATATTTATAACCGGATTGGTTGTTGCAAATCAAAATTTGCCAAGTCCTTTTTCATATTACCAGTTACCGGTTGAAATTTGAATTAAAAGTAAAATAAATTTAAAGTGATAAAGAACGTTTTTAATTTAAAAAAACAAAAAATTGTAAACCTTAAACGGTAAATTTAAAAAAAGATCCAAGTGATACCAAATCAATCCAAAAACATTCTAAAATATTTAAAAAATTACAAAAATTTAAAAAATACAAGATTTTTGAATTTTGAAACTTTTTAATTTTTTACAATTTTTTGAACAAATATTGTTTTCAATTTTTGTAATGAATTTAAGGTGGTATCCTATTAGAATTCAATATGCAGGGTGTTCTATTAAATAAAATGAGGTTAGGTTCTATAACTTACTTATCTGACCCCGTATACTTATTTTAACGGTAGGTTATTCAATGAAACCTTTGTCATAAACATTCTTCTGTATTTTAAAGAACTTTAAAAAAAATATATAGTTTGAAAATGCTCGGTTAAGAGATACGGGGGAAAAAATAAAGATCTCACTCTCATCAGGAGGCTATAATATGCGAAGAGGTGTTTCTTGCTCCTAATTTCCGAAGTATATGTTAAAAAATGTACATTTCATCTAAGAAACTTTATAAGATATTCCATCAGGAGATCCTTTTCTATCCACAAGAGAAGAATATGTACATTTTCTCTGGCTACCAGGAAAACATAATTCATGAGGAGCTCTTCTTCTGTGCCCAAGAACCCTACTCCTAATTCACGGAGTATCTGATATTGTACATTTTTCGAAATCTTGGACAGCTCTTTTTATATGCCTAAGAAAAGTGTGTCACCACTTTATTTTTGTATCTTGGTATCAGGAGAATATAATGGAGAAGTGGTGTTTCGTGCCCCTAATTCACGAAGCATCTGTTAGAAAAATTTTCTCTGGTAACCAAGAACACATAATATCTTTCTATGATCAAGAGAACTACTACGATACTTTATTTTTATCTCTCTTCCCCTATGTGGTAATTCACGAAGTGTCAGTTAGAAGAGTGTATGGCATTTTCTCTGGCTACAAAAAGAACTTAAGGTGTGATGATATCATTTTCCTGCGCTGAACAGGCTATTTTCGTTTCACCCCTTTTGTATCAGGGGTGCATAATAAACTAGGATGTGTTTCTGAAGCATTGTTGCTAATTTTTTCTACGTATCAGGAGAACATATTTTTCTATGTTCAATGGAAATGTTCCAACATATTGTTGTCCTACATATTCTCCTGATACCAAAACTGTATCAAAAACGAATTGATTGTATCAGAAACGCCGATGCGCAGATCTTACTAAAGTCGTGTTACTACTAGATCTCCCTCAAAGCAAAGACAAAGAGCTGAGAACTCTGGTCATAGAATTATATCAATAGCATAGTCACAAAATCAAAATGTCTGCATCTCCTACACGACTTTTGTTTTCCTGATCCTAAGAGAGTAACGAAAACTAATTAATTGTATCAGGAGCCCAGAATTGACAAACAATGTATTACTACCAACTATCTAAGTCAATTGGGCGCACAGAAATTGCAAACCTTAGTCATAGGATCGTATCAGGAGCATATAAGCGCAAGAATCTTACACAAATTAAAAATACCAAAACCGTTGCGGCTCTTACACGAATATATTGTTCTCCTGATACCAAAACTGTACCAAAAAGCGAACTGATTGTATCAATACTAAGATGTTCTCCCCAAAGCTAATTGTGTAACCAGCACAGCATGCCATCTCCTGCATAAGTTTTAAGTTTTTTTGATACCAAACGAGTACAAAAAATGAATTGATTGTATCAGGACCACACAAGTGCAGATCCTTTGGTAGAGAAATAGTCCATTGGAAGAAGTGGATTGCATTTTAGGCTTGGATGTCAAACGCTTGCGGGGGGGGGGGGGGGAATATCCTCCAAGAGAACAAAAGGAAAGTTCGATGGTTCTCCTACTTTCAGTTTTGTTGTGGATTTTTAAGTACAAGACAGTATCGGAGGCCGGGAGGGGGTATGGGGACAAACAAAGGGAAGTTTCAATGGTCCCCCTTCTTTGTGTTGTGGTCCCTAATGATGTTTAAATATGAGGGAGTACTGTTGAGTCTGAGGGGAAAACAAAAGGCACGGTCCCTAACATTGGCACCGAAGAGTCTGGAGTGTAAAAAATATGACACAGATTCCATACCCCCCCCCCCTCCTCGGCACTAATTTCTTTTGTGTTGCGGTCTCTCAAGATTTTTAAGTATAAGGTAGTACCGAGGGGTCTGGGGAGTATACCTCCCCCCAAGCAAACAAAAGGAAGATTCGATGGTCATCCTTTTTGTTGTGTTGACTGTGGTCTCTAAGATTTTTGAGTATAGGGCAGTACCGGAGGGTCTGGGGGTTATCGGGGGTATGTAATACCCCCCAGGCAAAAAAGTTAGATTCGATGGCCGCCTTTATTTCTGTTGTGTTGTGGTATGTAGAGTTTTAAATATAAGGCAGTATCGGGGGGTCTGGGGTGCATGGAGCCCCCCTCCCCCCCGAAACAAAAAGAAGATGCGATGGTCTTCCCACTTTCTGTTATGTAGTGGTCTCTAAAGATTTTTAAGTGTAAGGTACTACCGGGGGGCCTGGAATACCCCCCAGGCAAACAAAAGGCAGATACGATGGCCCTCCCACTTCCTGTTGGGTAGTGACTCAAAAGATTGTTAAGTATAAGGTACTAGCGGGAGGTCTGGGGGCTATGGAATACTCCCTAGGCAAACAGAAGGCAGATGCGATGGTCCTCCCACTTTCTGTTATGTAGTGGTTCTAAAGATTTTTAACTGTAAGGTACTACCGGGGGGTCTGGGGGGTATGGAATACCCCCCAGGCAAACAAAAGGTAGATACGATGGCCCTCCCACATCCTGTTGGGTAGTGGTCTCTAAAGATTTATAAGTGTAAAGTACTACCGGGGGGCCTGGAATACCCCCCAGATACGATGGCCCTCCCACTTCCGGTTGTGTAGTGGTGTCTAAAGATTTTTAAGTGTAAGGTACTACCGGGGGGCCTGGAATACCCCACAGGCAAACAAAAGGCAGATACGATGGCCCTCCCACTTCCTGTTAGGTAGTGGTCTCTAAAGATTGTTAAGTATAAGGTACTAGAGGGAGGTCTGGGGGCTATGCAATACTCCCTAGGCAAACAGAAGGCAGATGCGATGGTCCTCCCACTTTCTGTTATGTAGTGGTTCTAAAGATTTTTAACTGTAAGGTACTACCAGGGGGTCTGGGGGGTATGGAATACCCCCCAGGCAAACAAAAGGCAGATACGATGGCCCTCCCACTTCCTGTTGGATAGTGGTCTCTAAAGATTGTTAAGTATAAGGTACTAGCGGGGGGTCTGGGGGCTATGGAATACTCCCCAGGCAAACAGAAGGAAGATTCGATAGTCCTCCTATTTTCTGTTGTGTAGTGGTCTCTAAAGATTTTAAAGTTAAAGCTACTGCCGGGGGGTATGTAATACCCCCGGGCAAACAAAAGACAGATACGATGGCCCTCCCACTTCCTGTTGGGTAGTGGTCTCTAAAGATTGTTAAGTATGAGGTACTAGCGAGGGGTCTGGGGACTATGGAATACCCCCCAGGAAAACAAAAGAAAGATGCGATGGTCCTCCCACTTTCTGTTGGATAGTGGTCTCTAAAGATTGTTAAGTATAAGGTACTAGCGGGGGGTCTGGGGGCTATGGAATACTCCCCAGGCAAACAAAAGGCAGATACGAAGACGCTCCCACTTCCGGTTGTGTAGTGGTCTCTAAAGATTTTTAAGTGTAAGGTACTACCGGGGGGCCTGGAATACCCCCCCCCCCCCCAGGCAAACAAAAGGCAGCTGCGATGGTCCTCCCACTTTCTGTTATGTAGTGGCTCTAAAGATCTTTAAGTATCAGGTACTACCGGGGGATCTAGGGAGTATGGAATACCCCCCAGGCAAACAAAAGGCAGATGCGATGGTCCTCATACTTTCTGGATGTGGTTGTGGTCCCTAAAGATAAGAAACGATTAAAAAAAGGAACTTGAGAAGAGCAGTAACTTTTAGAGAAACTTAGATGGAAGCGAGTCGAGAAGATACTGACAACCTGAGAGGAACTTGAGAAGCGAACTTCAGAAAAATTAAAACCAAGCTGAGAGCACTTGGAAACCTGAGAGGTACTCGAGGAACTTGAAGCCAACTTTAAAGTAGTATGATTGCAATTGGGGGGGGGGGGGGAGTACCTTATGAGAAAAATTGAAGACAAAGTGTAAGAAGCTTGAAGAGTTCAATGGAAGAATTTTATGTGAACTTGGTTTCAGATGAAATTGAAGAAGATATGAAGTAATTTGGGAGAGAAAGTGAGAAAGGTGTCTCTAAAATAAATGGGAAATAAAATAATATAAACAGAACAAATTAACGCGTAAAAATCCGGAAGATGGTTAATGCAAGTGCATTGAATGAATTAATTAACTGGACGTAATAAATAAAAGGTCAAGCGCCTCATGTATATTATTCATTTGTATTTCCTCCCGTTTTTGCTCGTGTTTACTCGTCAACTGGAAAAGACGGTAATTGTGGAATCACGTCGGAAATCGCCGCGCTAACCGCAAATAATCAAATTATGAACCAATTAGCGTGCCATTCACATTAATCGATAAAACTCGCGCGCGACACGTGCGCATCTCTCGTACAAAAATAACTACTAACCTACTCTAAGCGATTTGTAGAAAATTTCCCTGGACTAATTAAGGGCCCCACGCGCCCATCGTAAATTTACGTCGTCGACACTCACTTGCCTCGAACGCGTCTCGGCTCTCACGCAATTCGCTTACCTTTCTTCCCAGTAAAATAGTTTAACTGCACCTTGCACTGTTAGAGGAAGCGGCATGTCTTATTCGCACACCGCGACGTTTCGCGCTCATCTAAGTACTCCATTATCAGAACTTAGCACGAAAAAATCATTCTCAATTAATTTTGATTGATTGGCGCAATTGCCTACTTAAGTACTTACTGAAGACTGAAACAACTGGCACTGAAACAAAGGAAAGGCTACATTAGCAACTGCGAATTGCGAAACGAAATGGAAACTTACCTAATGGGATCCATCTTGACAAGCGAACTCCCTCAAATTCTGAAACAAAATGGAATTGCGTTCAAAATTGATTTATTACATTGTAACATACATACAACCTTGTCAAGAACAATTAGTTAAGATAATCAGATAAGTGGACAATTTGTAATGTTTGCATGCGCTACTAACACACAACAGTAGGTAATTGATTTGAGTGCCATTTTATACCACCGTTTGTTTGGTACACGATGGGTTACGCAACGTGGTACATTAAAATTATCGTGCACTTTAGAAATGAACGTCAAGGCTAGAAAGGTTAACAGAAAAAAAAAGTCTCATAAACCTATAATTAATTTGCTTGAAAATGTGCCCGGTAATGGCGGCAATTAAAATCAATTGGCGAGTGCGTCAGTGGCGAAATTGTAGCTTAAGAAACGCGAGCGGTAACCATGGGCGATCGAAAAAGTTTGGGTAAACCTAAGAAGCGCGGCCAGAGGATGAGATACTCGACGATGTCGATGAAGCCATCGAAAAATAGAAGAAATCACAAATTGAAAAAGTCCAGTACTCCAAGTTGAGAACTTAAAAACACACCACAATGAGCGAGAGAAAAACGCCCATGGAAACTACCCAGAAGGAACGCCCTAGACTCAGGAACACTTAAACGATTTTCTAGAGCAATCAAACAAACTCTGATGTGGTCTCAAAAATAGGATCGTCGTAGAAGTAGTGAATTTTAGTCTGCGCATGCGTGACTCATGCGTTTAATTAGGCTTTACATGAAGGGTTCAGGGTTAAAATGTCAGTAAAATCGGTTCACAGATAAGTAAATTGGCCAGGGCCGTAGCCAGACTGTATAATCAGGACAGGCTCACAAACATTCAGGACAGGCGGCCTATTCCTGAACTATGACAAATGAAGCAAGCATACATAAACGTGTGTTTGCTATACCACTGGTTCAAGATTACGTCAAAATGGCGTTACAAACGTATACAAACTTGTTCCAATGATATCGAGAATATGCCTCCAGACTGAAATCTGAAATGTAGGTAATGGCATTTCTAGTTTTCAAAAAAACACTACTGGCTTTATTTTCATAAGCACTTATTTTATTTTGCAAATAACCACTCGGCTGGCCTAAATTAACAAAAAATTCAAAATTTACTAGGTTTGTGAACACACGTGGAATTTTTTTTAAATAATGAATAATAATCTAAAATGAAACCCTGAATTTCTCAGAGTGACCTATTACTACATTAAATGTACCCTGGAACGAATTTAATGCTCATCAAACAGCACAGACGATAGCAGATATCAAATGTCACTTACTTTTACACACTTGTTCTTTCACGGTAAGCAATCGCAATCCTCTACCTTTTATATTTAATAGCATGCTCGAGAAAAATACATCAAAATAAAGTAGTACTTCGCATTTTTTAAATTTAAAAGTTTTTAATCACCGATTCTTAACCAGATTAAATTTTCTCAATCGTCCTCGTAATAGAAGTTTTTTTCAGAGATTTTCGTAAGTAAAAAAGATGTCATTTTGCAGTTTGCGCATGCGCACATTTGATTTTTTACTACGTGTTTCCCTTTGCGAATTACATTTCTAGTTTTCGATTTTTACTAAATGTGATATGTTTTTCTATACTAGAAGCATCTATGGTTACAAATTCGAAGAAATATTGTCATAAATAATGAAGTTGGGACTGCGCAGAATCTAATGTTTACAATATGAGATATGTTTGCCTTCGTTGAAAAATGCGCTAAGAGATCAAAGCTTCACCAAATATTTGTGATAAACCACCGACTTCACGAGACGCCCTCGGCCATTTGAGATGTTGATATATCGTAATTCTATACCGATAGACAGTGCAGCGTTGCGGGTTTTAAAAAACATGTTATACATAGATATGTTCGTTTAATTGATAACCGCAACATCGTCAATAGTAATAATTATATATTTTAGCACACTAGTAAATTACAATAGGAAATTCGGAAATCTGGCTAGGGCAGGCTTAAAATTTTTCAGGGGAGGCTCAGCCTGCCCTGGCGTACCTCTGGCTACGGCCCTGTAAAATTGCATCTGCGCATGCGCAACTTTGTATTTCGTGGCCTGGGTGATACTGTGCGATCAAAAATGAGTTGCTGTAGAGTCACCTTTGGAACTTTTGTTTACATGGCAAATCATATTTAACGAGAACTTCCAAAGGCGACTCGACAGCAACTCATTTTTGATCACCCGTTGGTAACACCGAGGAGTCTGGGGGGAGGGGGGTCCCCCTGGATCTTACGAGGGCTTCATAATAGTTATAGGCAAGAGACCATTGAATAGAATTCCTCCTCCTCCATGGAGGAACGTTTTATTGTTCCTTTGCGTATAACTATCACAAGATGTTTGTGTACTGGAGGGTATTCCACACTCCCCAGAACCCCCGCTTCTACATTTTTCCTCGAAACGTATAGTGCACATATGGTATGTGCACCCTAATATTTGGAAAGGTTTTTTGCTGCCCCTAAAAATTTGCCGCTATGAACCCGGGCCCACATGACCCCATGCTAAATCCGTCCCTGAGTGCACATATCATATAAAGCACAACATTAGGAAAGGGACCGTAAAAAGTAACACCAGGGCGTCATGGAATGCGGAATCCTCGTCAGGAAAGGAAGATTTCTACATTCCCTTATGCTAAACTACCACAAGAGCTCTTAGGGCTCAATGTTTCGTGGGAGACAGTAGCACCGAGGAGTCTGGGGGGTTATGGAATCCCCCTGGATCTTACGAAGACTTCATGATAGTTATAGGCGAGAGACCATTGAATAGAATACCTCCCCCTCCATGGAGGAACGTTTCACAAGATGTTTGTGTACTGGGGGATATTCCACACTCCCCAGATCCCCTAATATTTGGAAAGGAACCATAAAAACTAAGACCATGGCGTCAAAGTCTGGAATACTCGTCTGGAAAAGAAGAAAAAGAAGGGGGGGCTAGGCGATATGGAAACCTAGGCAGAGTCAACCCTTTACTTTGCCTAGGTTTGTGCCGAACTCGCCTTCGGCTCGCTCGGCACTGCTTTTAAAACTATCACTGTTGCATGCCTTTGGCTCGTTCGGCTTGTGCCGAGCGAGTCGAAAGCGAGTTCGACACAATCCTAGGCAGAGCAGAGGTCTTCCTCTTACGGGATGCTCCTTTTAATGGGCATATACTTAACTCATAGGCTTTTCTAGTTTGTTGTTCCTGTACAACATATGGACATTATGCGAATACTTCCGTAAGTGAGAAAAAATGGTTTTATGATGGCCATAAAATCCAACTTCCACTCCGTCAAAACTCGAACGAAATTTCCCGCAGCAAGCGAATTTCTTCTAACGCAATTGAACAACGAGTTCTCTCGCGGCTTGACCCGTAAAATCAAAACTGTGAACTTGAGCCACGTAAGGAACATCCCAGTGGCCCAGAACCGAATGCCTCACAATTTTTCTTACAGATTAATCCCCCATATTATCCTTTATTAAACAATTAAGCCCATTTCCAATAATGACGTCAGCCATTTTTCTATAAAATTCATTCATTCAGAATCGCTGTACTTCCTGAGTGCAAGAAAAACTAGGCTGTCCTTAAGAAACCCACACACGGGAATTGAGTTGAATTGCATTTCTATAATGCGGACTGGTGATCTCAGATCTCCGTAATTTTTAGCTCAGCTATCTTTGCAATAAAAACGCTATTAAAGATAAGATTACCACCTATATCTCCGATTCACTGGAGCCTAAAATTTACTAAACCTATTAAGAGGACAACACGCTATAGAAATCAAATAACTCAGAAAACGATCTATAATTCCACCCGTTACTTACGGATTTTTAAAATTTCTCCAGCCATACAATTTATTCGAAAATTCAACCCTCTAACTTGAACTTTCTATGATATGTAATTCCTAAACTGTTCGAACTTATCTCCCTATCTCTATAAGAGACGATAGAAATAAATCCAAGTTTAGAGCTACCGTTACACTATTTATCAACTTCCAGAAATCCTCTGTCTTGATAATATTGTTCTGCTTCTGGCAGGGGAGAAAAGAGCAGGACGAGATCAAGAACAAAAAGGGACAAGGGAGACCATCTTGGAACAGGATCGCCGAGACGCTCAAGGAACCGGCAGGGAAACACTAGGGAGACATAAACCGCCCATGTCACCGAACAGGAAGCAAGCCATTGACAACCACAGATGGGCACTGAAAAACCCGAAACAAAAAAGGAGCTCAGGAAGGACAGGAAGGAGAAAAACGAGTTTACTAAGCTAAGCTTAATCCAATGGAGGTGTAATGCGCAAATGTATAAGCACATAAAAAAACCAGAAGGAGGAACCAACAAATATGCAATGCACCAATGAAGGAGGAACAAGAAGCATAGCCCCGCCATTGGAAGAGAACGATGACTGGCCACTACCGCCCCCCTCCCCCCCCACGTTGAAGAAATGATGAGAGATTGAAAAAGGGGAAAATGCCAGGGCAGGATAGGGTCCAGACCTTCCTTTCCTGAGGCGCATTTGATGCACTCCTGGGCCCGGTGCTACATTGTTCAGTCTTATGTTAACTTTTGAATATTTGGGGTACCAGTGAATCTTTCTAGGGGGAAACAAGTACCATTTTTTGGTGTACACCAAAAATTCAAATTCAAATTAATTCACGTTAATTCAAATTAATTCACATTAATTCACGTTAATTCACATTATAATAATAGTATATTTATTGTGTAAATGTAAAACAAAGACACAAAAGGCAAGAATTCGACGTAGTCGATCTTCCATTCTGCCAAAGTAAATTAAATATAATGGTACAGCTTAGCTATAATATAACTTACATTATAATTGTAATTAGTAACTCACATTAATTCAAATTAATTCACGTTAATTCAAATTAAGTCACATTAATTCACGTTAATTCAAATTAATTCACGACAATTCAAATTAATTCAGGTTAATTCAAATTCATTCACGTTAATTCAAATTAATTCTCGTTAATTCAAATGAATTCGCGTTAATTCAAATTAATTCCCGA